CAGCATACACGCATATTTAACTTCATTTATCTATAAGTGCAACCTTATATGGAGATAGAACCATTGGCAATGCAGGTTAGGACAAGGTGATATAACACCAGGGAAAGTGAGCTCAGTATGCTATGGGCTCAAGCTTCCCACAAAAGGGCCAGAGGCACCGGCACATGTAGAAAGATGACCTCAAGATGCAGAAAGACAACAAAATCAAACAGCTCCTTCTGATCATACAGATTGGAATGGTATGTCTGTGGACCAAGGATTGCCAAAGACTGCTGATTTCTACCAGAGGTTAGACAGCAAAAATAACAAAAAAAGATTGCTCTTTCCAGTATTTGAATAAAGCATAGCCCTGTTGACAACTTGAGTACAGACATGTAGCCCCTAGGGCCATAAAAGAGTAAGAATAAAGTTCTGGTGTTTTGAGATACCACGCTTATGGTACTTTGCTAATAACCGTAGGAAGCAAGCACAATCTCAAGGCTTAGAAATGCTAATTTACCTGATAGTGAGTGCGTAAAAACACTTAGACCCAGATCCCACTTATTACTGGATCTCTTCACTAGGTGGTATTCCACCAGGGTAACTAGAGATTGTTGTATTTCTCAGGCTGATTTGGCCATGGCTGTTCCTTTAGCAAAGCATCTCATGGGACTCATGTTTTTCACATTATATTTGTGGAGGTTTGAATGTAATTGCCCCTCCGCCTCCCATAAGCTCACAAGGAGTAGCACTATTGGAAGATGTGGCCTTGTTGCAGGGAGTGTGTCTCTATATGAGTGGACTTTGAGTTCTCCCATGTTCCTGTTGCCCACAAGGTGTAAGAACTCTCATCTGCTTCTTCAGCACCTTGTCTGCCTGCAAGGCACCATTCCCCACCATGATAATAGTGGACTGAACCTCTGAACTATAAACAGCCACCACAATGAAATGTTTTCCTTTATAAGAGTTGCCATGGTTATGGTTTCTTCACAGCAATAGAAACCCTAATGGAGACAATATTCATACCAGATAGTTTTCTTAGAGCTTAAGATTTTTATTGGTGTTTATTCATTGCACATAGTGATGAGTTTCATAAAGGTAATTTATTCCAAGTATGTCATGTGCTTTTAAAAAATAATAAACCAGTTATTTTTGTAAGTCATATTTTTACATGAGTGTCTGAAGGAAAATTGGAGAACATTCTCTTGCATCTGAAATTAGTATCTCTAAGTAGCTTAAACTAGTGCTTTCCTATATGTTTCTTATTCTTTGGATTATTATGTAGACTCTCAAGGGCAATGCCATCTAGTCAAAAGTAATTATGAAAATGCCTGTAATAGAACAAAGTTGTATTGGTGGATTTGTACTGTGGGAGAGTGCATATTACTGGTGTGCTGAGTTTTTATAATTTTATGTTGCCTAAGCATATATTTTAAATTCAATTGTAAGGGCTAGAGAGATAGCTAAGAGTAAGTACTGTTTTCATAGAGAATCAGATTTAGGCTCATAGCACCCAGATTGGGTGGCTCACAACTGCTAACTTCAGCTCCAGGTGATACCTCTGGGCTCTTTGGGTACCAGTACACATACCTACATCCACCAATTCATAAGTGAACTAATTAAAATAAATACTTACATTTAGTTTTTTCATACCTGAATCAGGACTCAGTTACTCTTGGAAGTTTCTGGTCCTAGCAGTTCACGCAGAGGCTCAGTGTGATTGATCCACATGGCAGCCATACCCTTCTACCTCCTGGTGATGGCTTCCTGTCAAATAGCTAATACACCCTCCCTGTCCACCATACCCCACATGCATTGTGAAGATGCATAGTGCTATTTCTGGATCTTTTGTCTGCTTCCCATAGCTCCACTATAAGTCATTCCTCTGTGAGTTCCTGTCTCTCTCCCTACCTGTAGTTTCCACGAAAGGGCCTAGAAGCAAGAAATTTTTTTTATTTCTATTTTCTGTGTCTCTTAATTGTTGAAGGGGTATTTCTGTCTTCAAGATCTCACATTTAAGCAAGGAAAAAGAGTGTTTCAGGAGGAAAGCATGAGAAAGGAGCTATTACTGGCTTTGTGCTTCTGTCTAGTCATTTGAAATAGAGTTAAAAGAAGGCTAAAGTTTCCAGAAGTAAATGTGGTCATTAGCTCTGTAATAGATTCTGGAATCAGGGAAACTAGTACCCAGGCAATGAGTATATACTCCTCAAGTGTGTGTGTGTGTGTGTGTGTGTGTGTGTTTATGTGTGTATTTTCTTCCCTGTCATACAAGTTTCCTTTCCACACTCAGGGACTGCTCTGGGGCATTTATGCAGGAAGAGACAGAAATTTTTACTCTAGTTATGTCTGATTACTCCTGACAGCTTTGGTTAATAAATTCAAATTTAAAACAAGAACAAAATCCAGGATGCCTTTCTCTGGGGTCAGACACAACTTCTGGATAATTATCCCTAACTCTATCATCCCAGCTTTGCTAACTGCTGCTCATATCATATTTAACATAGGGGTCTGGATCCTTCCAGCAGTGGTTTGCTCAAATATCCTGTGTTTGCTTTTTTTGGAGCTTTCCCCAAATCCTTTGGGGATAAAGGAGGGAACATGGTTCATAGAAGGGGTGGTAGTTATAATATCTGAACTTCTCGAACTCACAGGACAAGCTCTTGTGTGTCAATATGACTGTCCCAGCAGGGCAGACTGTGTTATCAGGGGCATTTAATGGTCATTGATTATGACAGGAGTGAGCTTTGTGGAGTTAATTGTTGAAATGAAATGACTTTTTTTTTTTTAAATTAAATAGAGGATGGGGTTTTTGTTCTCATTTTTAAAGATTAGTTTTTTTCTGATATTGTGTCAAGACCTTGGCAGAAGTGTGTTGTTGATGTGAAGTCAATATATGATGGTTATAAGATGTTGGCTGTGGCTGGTAATATGGCTCAGTCCATAAAGGCGTTTGATGGGAGATGTCATTCTGTAAATATGTTTCTCTTATTGGTTAATGAATAAAGCCTTGTTGGCCAATAGGAAAGCAAGATAGATGGGACTAGGAGACAAGGAGGATTCTGGGAGATGTAGATGAGGCGAGTCAAAATGTAAGACCAAGAGGAGTAAAAGGTCCGGACCCTTTCTCCAGTAAGCCAAGACCATGTGGAAATGCTTAGATTAATAGAAGTGGGTTAATGTTTAAGACAGAGCTAGCCAATAAGACACACTAGTAACAGGCCAACAGCTTTATATCTAATACAACATCTCTGTGTGTTATTTGGGGCTGACACAGCACTGGGACCAGGCTGGTGGGAAAACTGCTCATAACAGGCATTTACAGCCATGTCTGAGGACCTGAGTTTAATTTCTGGGACCCATATTCTAGAAGGAAAGAACAAACTCCTCCAGGATTTATACACACAGTATGACATCCAAGTGTGAGTATGAGTGTGTGTGTAGGCACTTACACATGTCCTCATTTATGACTGCACACTTGCAATTGCACACACATGCAATAAATAAATATACCTTTAAAAATTAAAAGGCTGATGTCTGGAATTGATTATACAACAGAAATTTATGCATCAGTGGGATATGGAAAGAAAATTTATTTTTAGAATGCATTTTCTCCTTAGAGTTATTAAGCTTTTGGAGCAATCAGTTAAATTAGAACAGTATTTATGGTCCATGTTAAAAAAATATGCAAAGAAATTAGCTTTCTTCTCCTGAGCAGCAAAAGACCATAATTGATTCAGAATGACAAAGGGAGAGAAGGGATATTGAATTAGATAATAGAGGTGACCACAATGTAATAATGGACAAGTTGATCATAGAGTGACTGAGGATGGCCAAAACATATGTTTTGTTATGCCTTGTGTGAATCTACCTATTTTTATAATCAGTGGATGCCACACAACTTATAGCAGAGGCTGCTCACTTGTGAAACCCAGCACCCGGGGAACTCCCACTAACATTCAGAGTGAGGGTTCTTTAAGTACCACACTCCTAGTATTTGAATACAAGTGACATTTTCATTGAGTAACATGATGCAAGGTTAAAATGTTGAAGTCGGTTTCTTTCTCACAGTTTCCTTGAGGTCTTTTCTGTAGAGATTTATGAGTGTTTCTCTAATGTCATTCCCAAAAGACCAGATATCTGGTATTCAAATTACCGAAGCCCTGGGGAGTCTTTTGAAGGCACCATTTTCCTGTTGTCCTCCATTGGGGAATAAAAGAATGAATCCAGGATTGGAAGCAACCCCTAAGAAAGCCCCTCTTAGGAACTCAGAGGGAGGGAGAAGGTCAGTGGCATAGCAGGTGTCTTAGGCAGTGTTCTAGTGCTATGAAGAGACACCATGACCACAACAACTCTTATAAAGGGAAACATTTAATTGGGGCTGACTTACAGTTCAGAGGTTCAGTCCATTGTCATCATGTCGGGAAGCTTGTTGGTATGTGTGTAGACGTTGAGCTGGAGAGGTAGTTGAGCCTTCAAAGTCCACCCCACACCCAGTGACATGCCTCCTCCAACACAACCACACCTACTCCAACAAAGCCACCCCTCCTAATGCACTGTGGGCCTATGGGGGAACATTTTCATTCAAACCACCACAGCAGGAGACAGCCTTAGGTTGAGAGTTTTAGTTTTCTTTTCTTTTGTCTTTTATCATACTGGGGAATCAAACCCAGGACATCCTGCATTCCAGGCAGGTACTCTATCAGTGAGCTATAAGTCCAGCCTGTTTTTTGTTTGTTTGTTTGTTTTTGTTTTTGTTTTAGTTTGTTAGTTTTTGGTGTTTTGAGACAAGATTTCTCTGTGTAGCCCTGGCTGTCCTGAAACTCTGTAGACCAGGCTGGCCTGGAACCCAGAGATCTCCAACTGCTTCTGCCTCCTAGTGCTGGCATCAAAGTCATGCACCACCATCATCAGGCTGAAGGTTTTAGAATTCCCTTGGTTCTCATTACTTTTGTTGATGTTTGTGGATGATGATGACAAAGAAGTTTCTATGTAACAGACAAAACTGTGTTGTTCTTTAACAGTGGTACCAGGGAAGGATGTGTTTCTTTGGCTGAAGAGAAGACTTGGAGCTTGCTGAATTGGGAAGATAGAAGTAAGCTACTCCTCAGCTCCCATTGCTACAGTCAGAGCAGTCTAGTGAAGACAAGGCCTTATGCAATCTGGAGAGAAACTAGGACCAGAGTAACTCCATAGACCTTTATATAGTTCTTTAGGAGATGGATGCTCAGAAGATCTCAAGGCTTTGGCTGTCCATGGTCTGCGCGTATGGCTGTATGAAGGTGGTGTTGCTGTAGTCAGGGTGTGCCTGGTTTTTTAATTTATATTTATTTATTTATTGCAATCCTTTAGATTACCCCATCAATCCTGGCTTAATGTCACTGCTAACTGTTGTGGGAGTATCCTGAATCAGTTTTGCGAAATGTAACTTTTAATATAGCTCCTTCTATAATAGCAAATTACCTTATGATTATTCAGTTCATTTACTGTTTTATAGAGGTTCTTAGGGTGTCTAGAAAACCTTCTTCCTCTTCCTGTCATTCTCTATCCTCCACCCTTTTCCAGTACTATATAGCCAAGGTTGTCCTCAAACTTGAATTTCTGGTTTAGCCTTCGAAGTCTAGGACTAGATGTATGGCCCATCTTAACCTAAAGGATCTTGTTTCTAACCATTATAAATTCATGAATTCATCCTAATTCATATACTTTACATCAGCATAAATAACTTTTATCTTTTCTTAGATGTCAGGTCTACCTGAGGCCAATTTATTCAACCACTCAGACATTTTATTTCTAGGAGAAATTTATATTCCAAGAGTAAATTCAAGTCAGTGACAACATAATCGTAGCAATTTCTAGTTTTTTTTTTTTTTTTTTTTTTTTTTTTTAGTTATGAATCAGTGAAACACAAACATTAAGACAGGAGCATCAGAGGAGGTACTAGAAGGTCCATAGAGGGTATGGTGATTTCTTAATAGAGGTACCAGACTGTGGATATCTTTTTCTAAGCAGAAGGGTGCGTGGTCACAGATTTTTTAATGTTATAGCAATGCATGGAGGAAAGTCAAGAAAGCAGCACAGGATGGGTGACGGAGATTCCTCCCCCTATTCAATAAAAGCAGCAAGGAAATTACTACGTTTAGCTGGGGGATCCAAAGCTAACTCAGCTAAGTTGGCTTAAGGCTTCCAAAAGCCCTGCTGAAGCAGATATGACTGTTAGGGAAGACAGACACACAGGGGCCACTAGACCTAAGAAACACCCGAAACACATGACAGGAGTCTGATGCTCCTCTTAGAGTTTAGTTGACACCCTAGCTGGCTTGTTCAGACTTTTCGTGGCTAAGAAGAAAAGTGATGCTGTGGACCTAAACTCTTAAAAGAAAAAAATCATTTGGTACGTAGCTGTTACAATAAGTTTGTTGTTTAAGAATAAACATGTTTCTATTAACTTTTTTAGTGTTTAATTTTAATTATCTACTTTTGGAGGATAAACATACACAATGTATTTTGATCGTATCCACTCCACATTCCTCCCCAGCTCCTCCCTGAAGCCCCTCATCTCCCTCCCAACTTCATATACTTTTTTTTCCTTTACAACCCAGCAAGTGCAATCACTGCTGTCTGTACATGCATGCATGGCCATCCACTGGTGCTTGGGCAACTTAGGAGGAGCCTAAAAAAAAAAAAAAACAACAACAACAACAGTATAACCCTTGGAATATATTTTTATTAACATATTTTACTTAAATATAGTCAACCTTTATTTTTATTTATCAGCTTTTTATGACTAAGTTGAGTAGACAAAAGAACACTCATATTAGTTTTAAATTTATTAAAATTCAAAGGATATTTAGAAATCTGACGATTCACATTGTCTTTCTTGTCATAGGAAGAAGGAGGCCATCTGTTAGAGGCCACTTGTAGCAACCTGAAGACATTTTGAGCTCTAAAAGACATATATGATGGCCTTCTTATTCTGGTTTTGGGGCCTGGATTTGGGAAAGTAAGGGTCCAGAGTAGTTGGTTGTTCAAGAGACAAGATGTAAGTCCTACCTATCTAGAGTCAAGAAATAATTATTGCCAACATTGTAAAACCACAATTAACAATAATTGCTAGGAACTTAACATTGACTTTTGGGAAAGCACGGGATCTTTCTGAAAAAAACTTAAAAGAATATTGAAGAAGACAAAAAATAACCATTTTATTGACAAAAATTACTCATGGACATAAAGTAAGATTTATTTTACATAAAGACCCAAATTCTAACTTTGCTTGTTCTATACATTATTTCTATACCAATCTACAACAGATCTTTTATTAATATGCCTTTATGTTTGTATATCTAGATGTATACATATATTCAAATAACTGATATTTTTTAAATGTGTGGCACACACATACTACTCTACTAGCCACTTGAGCTAGAGAGATGCTAACCTCATCATTACTCGGAGAAGCTTCTCTTTGAAGTAAAAACAGGGATCCATGGCTATTCAAGGTGCTTTCACTAAGTGACAGCTGAGTGCTCAGCCCCAAGTAGCATCGGCCTGAAGTTCAGAGGGGAGCTGGGAGTGAAGGGAACACATGATGAGGCTACATGAGAGTAGGAAGGGAAGGGAAAGGGCTACAAATCATTGTCTTCTGCGTATGGCAAAGCTACTGGAAACACTGGCCCACAGCAGCTGTGAATGGGTGCATGGGACCTGTATGAGACTGGGTTTGTCAACTACCAGTCACAGATTGTACAGGACTATGTCTCTCTGCCAAACAACTGGCTACTGATGGATTTTAGAGGTAAGGTAGCCTGTTTTCTTCAGTTGTGAAGCCACCAGGTTATGATGGATTGTTTCAAGCCAATGGTCACAAAGATCCTGGTTAAAATCATTGGTTCACAAACCAGAAGACAAGACATGGCTGTAGGTAGGACAATTGTGGGGGTGATGGATATGTTCAGTGGGGACTTGAGAAGAGAGTATGTGCTGCTCTTGCTGAATGAACTGTTCTGTAGATGCCAATTCCACCTGTTGGTGTAGATGCTTTTAGTTTCTCGGTGTGTGTGTGTGTGTGTGTGTGTGTGTGTGTGTGTGTGTGTGTGTATGTGTTTGTGTGTGAGTGTATGCATGTGTGTGTATGTGTGCATGTGTGTGGTGTGTGTGTGAGTGTATGTATGTGTGTAGTGAGTGTGTGTGTGTGAGTGTATGTATGTGTGTGTGAGTGTATGTATGTGTGTGTGAATGTGTGTGTATGTGTGTGTGTGAATGTATGCATGTTTGTGTGTATGTGTGTGGTGTGTGTGTGAGTGTATGCATGTGTGTGTGTATGTGTGTGAGTGTGTGTGTAAGTGTATGCATGTGTGTGTGTGTGCGCTTATTTGCTCTTTATCAGTGGTTGGGGGGGGATGGTGTTAAAGTCACTAATACAACTGTGGATTAGCCTCCTCAACTCTCTCAGTTCTGCTTCAATTATTCATAGCTCTGTTGACTGGTGCATCCCATTAGAACTCAGGGGTCTTCATAGTGGAGAAGTTATTTCATCAGTAGAGAATATTCCTTTATTTTATGTTTTGTGGTAATTTTTTCTGCTCTTAAATCTGGAGCCATTTCCGACTTGTTTTGATTTGAATAACTTATTTTTGTTTCCTCTTTCTCTCTACCTCTCTACCTCTCTGAGGTGAGGTGAGTTTTTTGAGGGCGATTTGTTTTCAATCTTCCAACCCATCTTTTTATTTGTACATTTACCATTGATACTTAGTGTATTATTATATTGGGGTTATAAAGCCTTGATTTTTCTGTTTATATTACTTTTTTTCTTTTCACTGCCTTCATATTGGTTACCTGATATGTGAACTCTTTACACTTCCATTTTAATTTATCTTTAGTGTTTTAGGATATATTTTTGTATAGTTTTTTTTTAGTTTTGCTATTATGTCATGTAAATATTCTTATCACAATCTCTCAGCATAATTTGTCAGTTCAAATGAGGTATAGAATCCTAACCCCCTTTATATGTCTTTGTTTTCTCTCATGCAGGTACACTAGTCAATGACTTTTCTACATCCATTTAAAGCCATATCAGACAGTGTTATAGTTTTTGTTTCAAGAATCCAATGAAACTTGAAAAAGGGAAGGGAAGCTACTGTCATTGGATTCTTTTGCTCGTCATGATCTTTCCTTTTTTCTAATATTGTAAGGCTACCTTTTTAAATTTATCACTTCCTGCTTGGGGAACTTTATTTAGCTATTCTTTTTAAAATGTATTTTTGTTTTATGGCATGAATGTTTTGCCTGCATGCTGGTAGGGCCACCATGAGTATGCCTGATGCCTGTAGAGGTCAGAATAGGGTGTCAGAGGAACTCGCTTCTCTCCAAGTGAGAATGAATGCTATAAATGTTTGATCGATGATCAGGAAAAAAAAAAAGTGGAATTTAACAAAGTAATTTTTGTGTGTTTTTTTTTAACCCAATATAGAGAGAAAATTTATGTCCTAGCCTCTGTCCAACTCCATATCAGAAATGGAACCAACTGGGCCCTTCAGCAATAACAGTGACAGGAACTGTACAATAGAAAGCTTCAAGAAAGAGTTTTATCCCATCATATACCTGGTCATATTCATCTGGGGAGCCTTGGGAAATGGCTTTTCCATATATATCTTCCTACAGACTTACAAGAAGTCCACATCTGTGAATGTTTTCATGCTCAACCTCGCCATTTCAGACTTCTTGTTTATAAGCACCCTGCCCTTCAGGGCTGACTATTATTTCAGAGAGTCCAACTGGATATTTGGGGATCTAGCCTGCAGAATTATGTCTTATTCCTTATATGTCAACATGTACACTAGCATTTATTTCCTAACTGTGCTAAGTGTTGTGCGTTTCCTGGCCACTGTCCACCCTTTCCAACTGCTCCATGTCACCAGCATTAAGAGTGCCTGGATCCTCTCTGGGATCATATGGGTTTTTATCATGGCTTCCTCGGCCATACTTCTGAAGAATGGCTATGAGAAGAAGGACAACATTATATCATGCCTGGAACTGAATCTCCAAAAGTTTAATAAGCTACTGATTTTGAACCACATTGCATTAGTGGCAGGCTTCCTGCTTCCATTTGTCATACTCACCATCTGCTACCTCCTGATCATCCGGGTCTTGTTGAAGGTGGAGATCCCAGAGTCGGGTCTGCGGGCTTCTCATAGGAAGGCGTTGATTACCATCATCATTGCCATGATCATCTTCCTCCTCTGTTTCCTGCCTTACCATGCACTGCGGACCCTCCACTTGGTCACTTGGAATGCAGATTCATGTGGGGATGAGTTACATAAGGCCACGGTAATCACACTGGCCTTGGCTGCAGCCAATAGCTGCCTCAATCCCTTTCTCTATTACTTTGCTGGGGAGAATTTCAAAGATCGATTAAGGGATGTGTTCAGTAAAGATCGTCTACAGAAAGCAAAGGCAAAGTGTGGCCTTCTCTTCTGTGTATAGCTGAAGAACAGAACTAAGAGTTCAGGAGCTGCTACTCAGGTGAGCTCATGAATCTTGGTGTCTACCTTCAAATTACTTTGTATTTGCATCATAGCCAACGAATCTTGGTTCCCAACATTTAATTGACCACGACTTTGCTAATAAAGCCTATTTCAGAAATGTCATTAGATGTATTTTTAGTAGTTGGGATTTAAATATTTCTACTGGAATATTGCATGCTGAGATGTGACATTGGGAAAAATTGTCCAGCACAGTAAGCCATGCTTTGCATCAGATCCTATGCTAGGTCTCTGCCCTAGGCAGTCTAAATCCCTAACTTCAAGACATCCTCAAGCACCCCAGCTTCTCCAGATCCTTTCCCCATTAAAGCCCTTGAGACACAGCCAAACCTACTGGTGGCCTCCGTGCAGCTTGGAGAACATGCTAAGAACTCAGGAGCTGACTTTGGTTTGAAGAAGAAGACTGGCCCGGAACAAAGCAGGTGCAGACAATGTTGGCGAGCGAAAAAGGAGGAGAACTAAGACAAAAGAGAGAGTGAACGATACGGAGAGGTAAAGAGTAATTTCATTTTTGCCCCAAGAAAGGGGTTCTAGTAACAAAATTGAAGAATGTGCCTTTGGTGTTTTTCTTGGCAGGAATTAGGAAGATCAAAGAGTTGGGGGGGGGGGTTGGGATTGCTTCCCTAGGGGAAGTGTGTGGAATAGGGAGGAGGTGGAGTCATGGGTTTACATCTCAGTTTTACTTTGAAGCTTGGGTTTGGATTGATGCCATTGTAGTCATTGCTCCCACCTACTAACCCACCGGGATGCCAATTAAAATAAAGGGGTGGTGCTGTGGTTTGATTTGGGCCTTTGGGGAAAGTGTTGGGCAGAACATGAGACGTGGTGTTAAAAAAGAAAGTCCTTGATATTAGAAATAGACCCTTTCTCTCCACAGAAACTGGCTACAGACACTACCATTTATTCGCATGACCATTGTGTTGACCCCGACAGTCAAGTGCCACTCCCATGCTGAGAAGCCTGAGCAGGTGCTGTACAACCATATAACCCTCACAAGAAAGCACAGAGATTTCACAGATGAAGAAATGAAAGCTCAGAGAAATTAAGAAGTGGGCCCAGGTCTACACAGCTAATCAGAGCTTTAAATGGGAATGTTGACTGGGTGCCCCTCCCCCACCACCCTTGTGAAGCTCCGGAAATGCTGCTCTAAAGTCTGAATGAAAACTCCCTCTCATGTCAGGCACATACACATGCCTTTCTCATCCTTAAAAGAAAGCCAACGTTTGGGGGCTAGAGGGATGGTTTGGGGGTTAAGAGCACTTGTTGCTCTTGTAGAGGACCCCAGGTTTGGTTCCCAGAACCCTCATGGAGACTCACAGCCATCTGCAACTTCATTCCACTGGCTTTTATGCCTTCTTGTGGCCTCTGTGGGCATGCACATGCTGTACAGACATGTAGACAAAATGTTCATACATGTAAAAACTTCTTAAAAACAACAACAAAAACAAAACACAGAGTCAGGGCTCTCTCGCAGTTGTGGACTCTGACATAGTTTGGGGTGGAAGGAAGGTTGTATTCTAACATTGGAAGGCACTACAGGTAGTGTTTGTATAAAATGAGGACTCCGTGACCTTCCTTTTTATTCAGCTACCAGAATGAAAACAGACAGATGTCAGAGGAAGGCCCTGGATCATCTGCCTACAGGAAATCTCCTCTATCCCAGAAAAGGTTGACAGATAATTGGGAATCCTTCAACCCCAAATCTGGGCATCTGTGCTGTCATTTACCTGACAGTGAAGCCTACAATCTGATGCATCCCTTGCACTCCCAGAAAGCATCTAGCCAACTTGGTCGAGTCCCATTCTTGACTATGAACCAGTCAATGAGCACACACTTCCAGTGGAAAACCCCTAAGATGCCAGGCACCAACACAGAGGGAGACGTCGTCAGCAGAGAAGGGCTCAGCATTTTAGTACTCTTACACTTGGGTCAGAAAGCACTGGTGTGTGGCTCCCAGCTGAGAGGAGACAGGCAGCCAAGAAAACAGGAACCTGGCAAAGGCGAAGACAACTCCCAGGAAGATTAGGTAGGGGCAGAAATGCCAGGGGACTCTGGGAGGGATAGTGGCAAAAAGAAGAAACCGTTGGAGGAGCACGCATGGAGATGGAGAGCTTGGGACAAACACATAGATGAACAGCACAATGCAGGCATTGTTACACTAAAGAAAAAAAGTGTTAGCTAAGAGCATGAATAATAACTTGCTCACACTCTGTAGTTGAATACTTATACAGAGAATGACATACACGTAAAAACACTATGATAGAATCTTTCTCAGGAAATGAGTGGGGTTGGTATGCACGTAGGGGAAAGAGGTATAGGAGCTTGGTTTTCCATCTTCCATCGGAGAGAATTCGTGGTAACCAAAGCTGGGAGAATAAGCAGCCACACAGCATGCTGTCTAGTGACAGGGAGTAAATGCTGGGAGAGGCAAAAAGAACTGGGAGAGGATGTCTCCAGAGAGAAGATGAGCGTGGGATGTTTGCTTTCAGTAATTGTCAGCCTGAACAATTTGTGAATGTGTACTGCTGAAATAAAATTAAAATTAAGATGAAATTTAATTGCAACCTTCAAATCAGTTTCCTCTTTTTTTTTTTTTTTTTTTTTTTTTGAACAAGAATAGGGATAACAGAAAGGCTACCAGGAAAATACCTCTTACTAGGGTAGAATGTCTCTGAGGCAAAAGGCGAAAATAGAAGTCTGTTTGCCAAAGTGAAGGTCTGGAGCTCTGAGATTTTAGATTTGGCTCTTTTTGTTTGAGGGATTAGGTGTCTCTGCAAAGAAATATATAAAACTCTAGATTTGATCACTGCTTGTTCTTAAGCAAAGAGGATATCAAACTAGCCAGGAAAAAAAAAAAAAAAAAAAGAGTTAGGAGAGGAGATGGCAGACATTACCATTGTGATCACTTTCTGTCCAGAATTCACTTTTCTACCTAGAAAAACATTTGGAAATAGAGGCTCAGTCATAGGAGAATGGGAGCCCACAGAACATGGGATGAGAAACCCTTACTTTGACACTCCAGCCCAGATGGAGAAAAGCTAATGGAAGTCACAAAGGAAAACACACCAACCAAGAACTCGATATAATGCTGACCGCACTTAAACATTCTAATATCAAAGTCGCATGAACGTAAGTGTCTACAGAGAGCTGAAAAGAAGCAGCCCTGAAACAGGCTACTTGCCACGGGGAGTTGGAGAGGTCTCTGGCATGTTAGCTGTGTGACGATATCTGTGGGGAGCTAAGGGCTCAGCTTGCAGGCCACCAGCTTTTTTTTCCCCCCTGTATCTTTGCATTCCAAGTGTGGGTAAACACAGCAAGACATATTGTCCATAAAGACGGCCGGCAGCATGGGTCAGTGCACCCCTGTGATCTGCTCTCTGATGACTAGGGAGGCCTCCCTGATAAACTGGCTCACAGAGTACGTCACCCAGTTGCATAACCTCAGGCTAGGGACAGCAGCCTGTTGTATAGGTCCCTCACTGGGGCACGAAGGACCAGTTTAAATGTCCCATTCACTAGCTTAGAGTCTGCTGTAAATTAGTGTTCTTAAAATCAGCTACGATGCTCTGGAGCATTTTGGCTAGAAGCTTCCATCCATTCTTTATTAACAACATATTTCATACAAATAAAGACATAAGCTAAAGGAGAATCAAATGGCGGTCTCTGTTCTTACTCCTTACTGTGAGAACTAAACTTTTATGAGTTCTGCCACGGTCCTTCTATGACCATAGAGATCATTAATCTCAATTTCATGTTACTCTTGGTTTTATTTATAATTTTACCACATGTATGCCTGTGTGAAAATACTGTATTGTTTAGATGTTTGTGTATTTTGTTTTGGAAAATGGAATGATACAGTAATTTTTTTTTTTTCACTCAGATTTAGTTATTCATTTGTTTGACATCCAGTCAGAGTGTTGCCCCTTGGGTCACTCAGACAATTTAACTTTTCATACTTAAGTTAATGAGGACTTAAGATTTTGTGGGTTGTTTTTTGTTGTTGTCTTGTCTTGGCAAGGTCTTGTTCAGCCTGTGTTGCCTTGAATTCACTATGTAGGCGAGGATAACCTTAACTCCTGGCCTCCTGTTTTCTCCTCCTGTGCTAGGTTACAGGCAGGCACCACCATGCCCTAGTTTATGCATGCTAACTAAGCACTGTACCAGCTGAGCTATAACCCCAACTGTAGTGACCTCTTGTGCCACCAGTGAATTTGCCGGAGTGGCCACATCCTAGGGGTGTGGCTTCAGGTGTACGGATATGACCCCTTATAAGGAAGAGGAGGGGCTGGCTCAGAGCCTTATATTTTGCTCTAAGGAACAATATTCTCTCAACACACATTTAATAAAAATATTCTCCAGATCCCACACTTAGGAATGTGCTCATGATAACGTCTTTTGAGTACTGCTCAGCTCTTTTCCAAACTGGTTTTACCAACTCCAGCCCCGTGCCAACAGTATATGTGAACTCCATGAGTCACCTTCCTAGAAGGTAACTTCCTTAGGAAGCAGTGAAGGTTCATTGGGGCAATCTTCTGCTCGTGACAAAGGAACATTGGTAGCAGGTGGACAGTCTGAAATGCAAGAAGAAAAAGTGTACAAAGATATGTGCACATACAGCACACAAGTCTGCAGAGTGGCAGCTGGGTTAACTATCTGCTGCTATTTGTCACTGCCTAACAGCTACCCAACTGGCGTTCCTGAGGTAGCAACAGCTAGCACTCACTAATGCTCTGCACTTTCCTAGCAAAATGTGTGGATTTGCACATAACACAAGAACTTGAAAGTTTTATAGGTAAGGAAACTGAAGAATTAGAGAGAGGTTAACAGGGAGTAACTTGTTTAGTTGTATTTTCCAATGATAGAAGCACTACTGAAATCTAGTCAATTCTCCCTCAGGGTTCATATTCTTAATTCTTTTCTTTGAAAGTTTGATAGATGTGTATAATGTACTTGGAAGTGTTTTGGAAGAAAAATCTTTTCTTCCCTAGCAAGTTACCCAGCACCTTCCGACTCTGGGAAACCTACCAATAGGGGAGAGAGTTTTCTGGTCAGTGTGAGATTGATTTCTCAATATCCTGTAACTGAAGTGGACAGTGTCGTCATCAGTGGGGTTCTTACCATTAGTTATGGTGAACAATTAAGAGCAATGGCAACAGTCGGTGTTATTTTGAGGCCTACCTGACCAGAAACCTGTAGGGAGGTACGTAGTTGCTGACACTGAGATTTCCCTAAATAACCCATCTTCTGGAAGCAGCATTGTACCACCATGCAGGTACCAATGACCAAACCACCTTGTTTTATATTATGTTTCTTAATTATCTTGCAAAATAATGAATTCCCATAAAGTTTCTTCATATGCCCTTATGTTTGACTAAGCTACTCCCAACCCCATCTCTCCTATCTCCCTGCTTCCATCCCCATTTAAACCTTTACCCACAGTATTCCCTCCAACTGTTCTTTCAAGCCAGCTGTGTTCTGATGCTC